CTGGGTGGAGGTCTCAAGATGAACTCACTCCTCCTTAAGCAACCATTGGTGCGGTGTGGAGCCCTTGGCTGGTGACAATGGTCCCCCCTGAGGAAGCCCCACAGCCACCGCTCTCTGTTGACCAAGCGTCCAGCTCCACGAGCCTTGGAAGCTATTTCAGATCCGAGCTAGAAGACAGCAGGCCCTTTTAAATCTTTTCTTGCTCTCTTTCCTGTCTTCTCCCCACTGCTCCATCTCCAGTTCTAAAATGGTTGAGACAGTCTCCCAGATGAGGAACACTGTGGTTTACTGATGGGCAATGGTCTTGGCAGATTCGAAAATACCCCAAAGTCGTTTTCCACATCACCCTGTCCTCAGATTTCCCCTCTTCTGACTTTTCAGAGCCGAAATGGGAGCCTTGTTATAAAATGAGGGCTGAAATTAGGGAAAATTTTTTCTGCTGACCACATCGAGCATAGCAAAGCACAGTGATTACTAGCTGCTGGAGTTTACTAGATGGTAGGAAGCAGTGGCCGGGGAAGTGGGGAGCCGAGGCGTTTCTTATCAGCGTGACCAATTTTGACGGAGGGAGGGAAGGTTTGTTTGTGCTTTAAGGGTAGATAGAGTCCACCACAGTGGGGAAGGCACAGTGAAAGAGCGTGAGGTGGCTAGTCACATTCTGTCCACAGCTGAGACTGGGCAGGACACAGGGCCATGCTACCAAACGTAAAAGTCCATCTCCAGTGGTTCACTTCCTCCGGCAAGGCTCCATCCACTTCCTAAAGGTTCCACAGTTTTCCAGAATAACACAACCAACTAGGGGCCAAGTGATCAAACACATGAACCTGTGGAAGACACTTAACAGTCAAAACCACCATTTGGGGATGCAGGTATGATGGTTTGAATCAGAATTATCCCCCACAGTCTCAGGCATTTGAGATCTTGGTTCCCAGTTGGTGTTGCTCTTTCAGGAGGGCTGTGTGGCCTCTCTGGAGGAAGTGTGTCTCTGGGGGCAAGCATTGAGACTGGGCACAGACTTCTGGTTTACTCTGTGTCGGGCCTGTGGCTGAAGATATGAGGTCTAAGTTTTCTCTTCCTGGCTGCCAGGACTGATGCCTGCTGCCAGACTGTCCCTGCCATAAGGGACTCAAGGAGCCCTACACCAAAATAAATTCATTCTTCTGGAAGTTGCCTTGGCAACATGCTACATCAAAAAGATCACATAGATCTATTTATTTCTGCAATTGTGTGCCACATAAAAAGTCTCAGAGCTTTGTCAAGTATGGTGGTTCATACTTGCAGATCCCAAGCGAAGGAGGCTAAAGATGACAGTCCCCAGGGCAGCCTGGACTGTTGTGAAAAATCCTGTGTTGATTTATTTTTGAGCTTTTATTATGTGCTTAGTATTTGAATCTAAGGATCCAAAGATCGATTAGCCCGGCACTCTCAGGCTCGCCACCTAGGTGAAAACCTAAGTAGCCAAGCAGAGGGGAATTTTCTGAGTGCTGTTTGGAGGAACAGAAAGTGGAGCCAGGAAGCCAGGGTGGTGACCAAATTGGGTCTGTCTGACCCTGAAGCCAACATTATTCGTTCAGTAGTGTGTGTGTGTGTGTGTGTGTGTGTGTGTGTGTGTAGACAGAGAAAGAAATGAAACAAAGAGACACAGAACAACAGACAGAGACACTTTCCAGTGTTGGTCTGGCCCATAACCTCTCTGTCCAAGAGAGGGGAGGGTGTTTTTCGTGGGAAGCATAGTTAATCTCACATCTTGATATTAGGTATCCTACAAAGGTGGGGAGCTTTCCTTGAATCAAATTGTTATCCTGATGCCCCATCTCCTTTCCAGCCTAGAGTACTTATATCCAGAACCAGAACCCATCATCCATCGCCACTGTGAGCCTTTTATTCAGTTTTATTTTTTGAGACAGGGTTTCTTTGTAGACCAGGCTGGCCTTGAACTCACGTGGATCTACTGCTGGGACCAAAGGCACACCTCCACTCCCCAACTGCCAAGTGCCTCTGCTATATCCCACAGAAATCAGCTCAAATATCAGTTGCCTGCTGTGGGAGTCCCCTCTGTGTGCTGTGATTACTATTAGTGAATAAAGAAACTGCTTTGGACCTATAGCAAGGCAGAACTTATGTAGGCAGGGAAAGCTAGGCTGAATGCTGGGAGAAAAGAGGCAGAGTCAGGGAGACGCCATGGAGCTGCTGCCATCGTCAGACACGCCAAAACTTTGCCGGTAAGCCACTGCCACGTGGCGATACACAGATTAATGGAGATGGGTTAAATTAATATGTAAGAGTTAGCCAATATGGAGCTAGAGCTAATGGGCCAAGCAGTGATTTAATTAATACAGTTTCTGTGTGACTATTATTTAATTAATACAGTTTCTATTTTGGATCTAAGCTAGCCGGGCAGGCGCCTGGGAACCAACAAGTGCCCTACTCCAAAAGTTGTCCTGAGAGCCTTTTTCTTTAGAAGGTCTATATGGTGTCCCCTCTGAAGTTATGCCTGCATTAGATTTTTCAGTGCCTGTCATAATGAAAGGACACCACCCATCCATCCGAGGCTCCTTCTCTGGACTTCAGACCCTGTTTTGTAGTTTATTTCTGACAGTCAGTCACAAGAACTTGACGTTCCAAGATCTCCTTTCTATCTGTCTTTCATGCGTCGGTACCCTAAAGCCTTGGGATCCCTGACACTCTCTGCAGTTCAGGCAGGGCAAGAAGCAGAACCGCCACACAGAAGGCAGCTGGAGTTCTTTCTGGCTTATACCAGTCTACCTTCAAAATGGGCTCTGTAACTTCCCTGCTCCCCAGGCTTATTGAATTGCCTAAGGGTTTTGATGTTAGCAGAGCAAGGGATGCCAGAACAAAAAGGGGAAGAGAATGCCCAGTGCATACCCCTGGAAGGGGCTGGACAGAAAGCCCCTCCTCGATCCCTCCCCTTCCCTCCCCTTCCCTCCTCTTCCCTCCCCACCTCCTTCATCCCCCTCCCCCAGTAGCTTGAGAGCAGAGCCCTGCTGGGGAGCTCTCAGCTGAGAGTGTCCAGTGTCCTCAGCATCTCAGTGTGTCACAGGGGTCCCTGGCTGGGTGGGAGCATTGCAGGAAGACCCAGCAAAGCCACGGGGCCCTCTCCACTTAACAGAAAATATTGATCATGTTAGATTTTATCTATTTTTTAAAGATTTTATCTTACGTCCTAGTGTTTTGCCTGTGTCTATGTTTGAGCACCACGTGTGTGCCTGGTACCCGAAGAGGGCATCCGACTCCTTGGTACCGGAGTTAAGGATGGCTGTGAGCCTCCCTGTGGGTGCTGGGGATTGAGCCCAACGTCCTCTGTAAGAGCAGCCAGTGCTCTTAACGGCAACTCTCCAGCCCCCTGACTCGGTAGGTTTTAGACAGTTCTACGCTGAGTTCACCCTGAAAAAAATGACAGCCATGTGAAGGACTAAAAGGCCTTTTCCCTCCCACATCGAGTTTGCTTTCTCTTTAAAGTGTTCAGAACGTGGAGAAGCACACACTTCAATTACCCCTTTCAGTTCTCTGACAGCCCCAGGTGGTGCTTTGGTCCTTGCTACTCGGAGGTGGAGGCAGATAGATGCTTGAGCCAGGAGTCTGAGGACAACCTGGGCAACACAGCAAGACTCCATTTCAATGATAAAATTTTTTATCTCTGAGAAAGGGCAAAAGCAGATATTTTAAAAATTCCATTTCGGAAGCCAGGCAGTGGTGGTACACACCTTTAATCCTAGGAGGTGGAGGCAGGAAGATCTTTGTGAGTCCAAAACTAACCTGGTCTACAGAGCAGGTTCTACAGGGCTACCCAGAGAAACCATGTCTCAAAAAACTAAAACAAAAGAAAAAATAACTCAATTTAGGGTTTGGTGAGATGTCTGGGTAATGAAAAGCACCCACGTCAGGCCGCCTTACCGCCTGTTCACCTCCAGGGCCTCTCACGCCCTCTTCTGGCCTCTCCTAGGCACTGCACCACATGCGCACACACACCCCCCACTCACGTGTGCATAGTTAAAAATAAAATCTTCTCGACCAGCCTGGTCTACAGAGCTAGTTCCAGGACAGGCTCCAAAGCCACAGAGAAACCCTGTCTCGAAAAACCAAAAAAAAAAAAAAATCATTATCATTTTTTGTTACAGGGTCCAACTTGCTATGTAGCCAAGACTGACCTTGAACTCTGGATCCTTTTGCTTCTACTTCCCAAGCGCTGGAAGTAAAGGTGCTTTTCTATATCAGTTTAAAAAGGAGTTAAGACATTTGAAAATAAAATCAGATATTTATGCACCCCATTAGTTCCCTAGGAAAACAACTCTGACTTCAAACAGCTCAGTTTTCATTGTAAGAAGAGAGATTTCCCCCAGGTGACGCTTGTCTTAACAGGGCAGGCGATGGATGCCACAGTCACAATTCGGAAGCTGTTGGGACATTTGAGGGCAGACGGCAGGACTAAGGAAAAGACACCATTCTCTATTGTAGACTCCAGGGTAGATTCAGTGATTCATTAGTTTTATTTTATTCCTTTTAAGCCGCTACGGCATATGGGCTACTGTGAGTCATTCTTTTTTTCTTTGAGTACAACTAGCTGGGAAAATATATCTTAGTCTGCCCCTCCCCCCCAAAGGTTTGAGGGTCGGAAATGCAGGTGATTATCAAGGACTGCCTTTGATACCAACATCCTTCTCTCCCGGGAGCCCTTTGAACTGACTTTGATATGCATGCGATAATTAAGAGGGATTCCTGCCTGGAGGAGCAGCCGCTGTGGCCCTGCCTCTGGTCTCCTTCCACTGAGTCCTTGTTTTGAACTATTGATCAAAGATTTGAAGGGATCTGTTGTAGCCTGTGTGGGGTAAAGAGGAAGGAAACGAGTGGGCTGGAAGGGAGAAGAGGGGGCCGCATCTGGCTATAAATAGTTTCGGAAAAGCGTGCTGGTCAGACCCGGCCTGTCTCATTTAGCACACAGTCCTTGGGCAGAATTACTTCTCTTTCAGAAAAGACCGCTCCGCTCCAGCGAGGCGACTTGCCGATTGCACCAGCGACTTGCAGAAAGCTCGGCAGGACCATTCAGCTCCGGGTTTGCAGACGCCCAGCCTCAGAAGACGCAAGGGGTACTGGGAACTTCCGAGAGACCTGAGTGACTGAAGGATGGTACTGGTGGCCTTGCTTGGACTCAGCTGGTTCTGTTCACCCCTGGGAGCGCTGGTTCTGGATTTCAACAACATCAAGAGCTCTACTGATGTGCAAGGCACTGGGAAGGTAAGTTCAGGTAGAGTAAGGCAGCACTGAGACCTGCAGTAACGATGACGTGTGTCAGGCAGGACACCCTCACCTCTAGGTTAACTGAGCTTGCACATGAAACCCAGTTCTCTTGCCATTGACTATGACAAGAGAAACCCACAATCCTATCACTTGGGAGGCAGGGAAGGCAGAATAAGGAGCTGACAGCCAGTCAGAGGCCACCCTGAACTGCAGATGAAACCTTTCAAAAAGCCAGGAAAACAAAAGGCCATAGAGCGGTTTTCAGGCCAGGGCTCTGACTTTGCCTACCAGTCAGTGTCTAATGAAAGTGGTACCGCGGGCTAGGCCTTTACGGTCATTTGCCTTCCTCACATCTCAAGACAGGAACAGCTTCCTATTTAGCAATGAAGAAGGCAGGAGTTAGGACCAAGGCTACACAGCATGTATGTAGGAATTAGGGCTTAACCATATCAGGACACGACACATTATTGCAATAATCTACTTTATTTTCGAGGAGCCATTATCATTCGTGTATACTACACATCACACTCTATTCTGTGTGTGTGCACACTGCATACAGAATGAAGGATAGTTGGGGAGGAGCTGGTGTAGTGACAAGCAGACTCACAATTATATCTGTCATCTCTAAGACACACAGGAAAAACTGATTTTCCACGGAGAGTATAAAAACATTAAATTCTGAGTTTTGAAGTAAAACGGGTTGGAGGTTGGCTGGTCCATAATTGATTAAAGACAAGCTTTCAAACGCAAGCAACCAAGGTCTTCTCACGGGGAGTTTGATGTATTCTTTTTTGGGAGAAAATCAGTCACGGTGAAAAATTGAGATGGTGCCCAAAGCTCGCCACAATATCTCAACAGCCCCCCTCCCACTCCACCCCAAACCTCTTCTAAAGACCTCTTCGGGCTCACTGGATTTCGCAGCCCGTGACAAGCTTGTCTTTGCAGGGCTCACAGTGTGCATCAGACAAGGACTGCAGTGCAGGAAAATTCTGCTTCACGCTGCACGACGATAGGTCACTCTGTGCCACGTGCCGCAGAGCTCGGAGGAGGTGCCAGAGGAGTGCCATGTGCTGCCCGGGAACCGTCTGTGTGAACGGTGAGTGACCCCGGGGCTCCAAGCTGTGGGGGCTGCCATCCGAAGGCACCACGGGAGTCACACTGGCTCAGACAGTTCGCGGGGGCCCTAGGGTGTTGTTGGGTCTGGATGGAGGAGATCTGTGCAGCTGTCTGTGTTGAGGAAACAAATTATTACCTGTCAACACCTTTTATCAGTGACATGGGTAAAATGATTCTGAAGGAGAGAGAGACAAAGTAGGCTGGTTTGGGTCTTCCCATTTACACTTGGATCTTTATTAATTATTTGCTGTATGTGAGCATGTAAGCATGGATATATGTGTGTGTGTGTGTGTGTGTACATGTGTGAGACATAGTGTATGCATCAGAAATATAAAATAGAAGGTGGAAGAGCTACAAATCCTTTAGCAAAACAGTAACTGCACACCTGTATGTGCCCCTTAGTAACACTAACTAAAGCTGTCTGCCCCCCAGATGTTTGCACTGCTGTGGAGGACACAAGGACAGTAATGGGCAGAAACACTGATGACCAAGACGACACCTATGCAGAAGGAACCGCCAAACGGCCCACAGAGGAAAACAGACCTCAGGGGAAGCCCAGTGTTAAGAAATCACAGAGCAGTAAGGGTAAGGACATCATTCTGAGCACATTTTATTTGAAAAACAATTTTCTTGCTCCCAGCCTTCTCCATGTCTGTGAACTCTTGGAACAACTCAAGAGGCTCCACTGGCCAGGCCAGGACAAGACCCTTGTAATAAAGTGCTTAGGAAAAAATTTTTCCAGTGTTCAATTACACACACGCATCTGTGCACACACACACACACACACACCCCTTTCACGATGCTGGGGTGTAACAAATGCCATTTTCCCTTTCTCTAGCCTCAGCATTACACAGATCAAAGTAAATACATTCACTCCAACCTTGTACAAAATACAAAATGATTTTCTGTTGTTGTTTGGAGTCAGGGTCTGTGCAGCCCTAGCTATCCTGGAACTCACTATGTATCAGAGCACTAACGGCCTCTGCTGGGATTAAAGGGGTTTGTTTGCTACCACACTTGGTGATTAAAAGAATTTTTTTAAAAAATATTTGAGTACCAAATGACAGTCTTTGAGATCACAGAATATTTGAAAGTGAAGTGGTAAAATGGCTTTCCCTGCCTATGCCATTGGGTTAGCTGTCCCATACATGTACACTAAAAATTACATTAGCAAAACTTTGTAGAATATTACCTATTTCTCAGGCCTGGAAATCCCTTCTTTCCTTCTCTTTCTTTTGTAATTTTGAGACAAGGTTTCTCTGTGTAGCTCTGGCTGTCCTGGAACTCACTCTGTAGACCAGGCTGGCCTCAAACTCACAGAGATCCTCCTGCCTCTGCCTCCCGAGTGCTGGGATTTAAGGCATGTATCACCAATGTCAGCTCCTTCTTTTCTTGATGTCTTGACTTAAATGAGACAAACAATAAACACTATTAGGAAGGGCTAGAATTTTCCCTCATTGTGTGAGACCCATGGCTCCTGTTGGCTGCTGCTATCTTTAGGTTGTAGCCTTCATTCCTAGATCCATTAGAACAACACACACCCCCTTAACCCTCCTGCTGCCGCAAGCAATGATTGCTGCCCACCTGCCACTAAAGCCGCGTCTAACTTGTTACAGGAGAGGAGGGAGAAAGCTGTCTGAGAACTTCCGACTGTGACCCTGGACTTTGCTGTGCTCGCCATTTTTGGACAAAAATTTGCAAGCCGGTTCTACTAGAGGGGCAGGTCTGCTCCAGGAGAGGGCAGAAGGACACTGCCCAAGCCCCAGAAATCTTTCAGCGCTGCGACTGCGGTCCTGGACTAGTGTGTCGAAGTCAGGTGACTGGAAACCGGCAACAGACACGGCTAAGAGTATGCCAGAGAATATGACTGTAACCCGGCTGTAAACACGGGACTCACAGCCAGGCACTGATTTTATTATTGTTATTTTTTTATTTTGTTTTTTATTTTATTTTATTTTATTTTTGAGATGGAGCTCTATTGTGTAGCCCCGGCTGGGCTGGAACTTGCTGTCAACCTGGCTATCTTGAACTCATAGAGATCCGCCTGCTTCTGCCTTCTGGGTACTTCTTCGGGTAGAGGGAGGAGTTTTCAGACAGGGTCTCAAAGTCAGCTATGCAGCCCAGGCTGTCCTCAAACTCACTGTCTTCTTACCTCAAGCCCCAGGTTGGGATAACCGACGAGCACTATACCCAGCATATATATAGAACCAAACCTAGCAACTGAAACACACAGTAACCAGAGCACTATGAGATGCTTTTTGTCTCTTGTCTAGAATACTGACATGATTCTACAATAAAACAATTCTGATACAGCCAATTCAATCTGTCCAAATAAATCTTTTCTAAAAATTGAAATCGTATGTGGGTGCACATTGTGATCTTTGATATACAGTGAACTGCCTAGCAGACAAATATGAATGTGCCCATCCCATAAGTCACGTGTCATTTCAGGTGAGGGGCTGCTACTTCTGAGATAAAGCACATGCCTGTTCTTCTAGCTATTAGTATGAATTGCAAGCAGAAAACGGGTCAAAGAAAAAGGTTACATTAATGAAATCACCTCGTTTTTTTTCTTTTCTATCTTTTTAAAAAATATTTATTAAATATACAATGTTCTGTCTGTCTGTATGTCTGCAGGCCAGAAGAGGGCACCAGACCCCATTACAGATGGTTGTGAGCCACCATGTGGTTGCTGGGAATCAAACTCAGGACCTTTGGAAGAGCAGGCAATGCTCTTAACCGCTGAGCTATCTCTCCAGCCCTTTTCTATCTTTAGACAGGGTCTCACTATGCAGCTCTGGTGGGCTGGTGTTCTGGAACTCACTCTGCAGAGTAGACTGCCCATCTCTGCCTCCCGAGTGCTAGGATGAATGCTGTGTGCCATCACTCCTGGCAGTCCCTAGTTCCTAGAGAACACTGAACCAGCGTCCGGGGCACCCCGGGGAGAGCCAAGTGACTGGTAGAGGAAACAGGAGACAGTAAGAGGAGGACAGGGCTGCAATGCAGGGCAGAAATGAAATCCCCATTAACCTTTCTCTCACCCCAGCTCGTACTTGTCTCTGCTAAACCCACGGTGAACTGTGCTCATAAACGCCACACTAAATTAAGTACACCTGCTAAGAAAATAAGTATTCAGTAGTTCAAGAGCTTTATTGACTACAGTACATGGTAAGCCTGGAGAAGCGATCACTTAAAAACACCAAAACCCTTACATAGCAAAGGTTAAGAAATAAATTAGGACTCCTAGTGGGAAAAGCCGGGGTGGGTAGGTGGGGGCTGGGGAGGTGGGGGGCTGGCCTCATTCGCTTCTATCCTTGGGCTCCCGGTAGCTCCACTGGATGTAATCAAAAATGTCCTGCTCACTGTCCACTGGAAGGGGCTCCCCAGCAACTCCTGCAAGTAGAGAGAGAAAAGAAGTAGTTTGGGAAGTTAATTACCGCAGACTGCGAGCAGGGGAAAGGAACTTAGCCACCTGGGAGAAGTCCCTGCCTGCCTGTCTCCACTTTCTGATAAAAGCCTGCATGCGTGTTTTGCAACATGTTACCAGTATAACAGACCCTGGGCACCCCAACTGTGGCCAGGAAAGCCACCCTAGTTCATGATTCTCTTTTTTTGCTGGATCTCTGTTGTACCCATCATAAACTATTCTTGAGTTTTTCTGCAACCCAGACCGTGGCTCTTAAGCTAGCTGCTAGGACATCACTTAGAAGTCGGGTGTGGCGGTACATGACTAGGTCAGTCTGGGCTGCAGAATGAAATTCAGATGCCTGAGTGCCCATGAAATTAGCCACGTTTAATGAGGACCCAAGTGAACCGTATGCATGTTTATATTTGAAAAGCATGCTCCAGTCTTCGCGAGACGGAAGTCCTGCCTTATGCAACACTTAGGACAAAATGGCAAAGCTTCATTCCCCCAGTAAACTACCACATACCAGTAAACTACACAGCAGGCTGTGAAATGTTAAACAAGATCTCTATTGATTTTGTGTGCCGTGTAAACATGCGTATGTCTACATGTGGTATGTGCATGCCACAGGAAGTACACACGAAAGATAACAGATTTCAGGCATCAATTCCCCTTCTACCACATAGGTCCCAGGAATCAAATCCGCTGTGGGAAGGGCCCTTACTGCTGGGCCATCTCACCTATTCTTTAAATCCTAAAGCAGGAAGTGAGAATAATTACCCAGGAATTATTTTGTAATTTTTTTTTGTTTTATTCTTCCCCGTGAGGGTGGGGATGGTTGGGATGGCACCTGCTCTGTCGCTGCCACAGTCTCAGGCATCAGTTGTCAGTGAAAGAAAGGACACCCAAGCTCTTCACAAGTCTCAGACACAGCCAAACAGAACCTCTTCCATAGTACGATCTTTCAATGAGCATTCATCCTAAGAAAGGGTCAAACAGGGCCTCGGGTGTGCGGGCAGGCACTGTACCAGTCAAGCTATGTCTATTCTCACAGAGCTGGAAATCACTTTCGCCTTGTGCACCATCAATTGAGGCCCTAAAGATAGCTTTTATTTCCTGTGGGATTAACATAAAAGAGCTACAATTAAATGGCAGGATCACTAAAAAGTCTTCTAAGAAACTTTATTATATTAAAATGCCTAGTTTTTGGGAGGGGGCTCATGTAGCCTAGGCTGCCCTCAGACTTGCCGAGAAGCCCAGGCTGCCCCAAGGCCAGCTGAGCACCTCTGGAAAGCACTTCCTCTGCTGAGGCAGTCAGGATACTCACCAGTGACCCCCAGGGGGCGGATGGTGTACTCATTGATTGTGAAACCCTTTTCTAGGGCGTGTGCTCTCATGTTCTTATTAAAGATGTCGCTCCCAGTGAAGTAGAGAACACCACAGTAATACTGATCTTTGGGGATCAACCTTAGGGGAAAAAAACTTTTTAAACCACATATTTCAAGTTTAGCCAAAGTAAGTCTACGTGGTACATATCCTAGGAAAAGCAGGTCGTTAGGTTGCAACTGGTCACTCGGCTGCTACCAGCTGCGGCTTTTGTTAACAACACTCACTACTCACAGCTAAAGCGGGTTAGCCTTTGTCTTGTGCTTTCTGCTTTACTTTCACCATTGCCCTTAACCTTCCCCTAACCTCCTGGGTCACTGGGGTTCCAGAATGGGGGCCCTCAAATAGTGCAGGCCATCCTTCTGTCAAGGGCAAGTACTTGTGAGGCTGAGGCTGCACTCATGAAGTGACCGTCTCTCAAGAACACCAGAGCAGACAGTGCTGGGTCTCACCTCCCTTAGCCCTGCTCTAATTCTTCCCTCTTAAGTCGGGGATGTCAACAGCTGTTATCTGTCCTTCCCAGTGCGGACACATGGAACCCATCTCTCCGAGCTTCTTACCAATTCTTGTCTTTATCTGACGTATGAGGACAGGCAAGTCCAGGCTGCCAGAGCCCAGGCTTTTGCCTCCAAGCTCCAGCTACACATGCAGTAAGGAATGCAAGTGTGCACAAATGAAAAGGTGCCCCACTTACTACAACACGGCAGACCATGACAGCTATGGCTGCTGCTCTGCTGAGGGGCAAATCTGGAGAAACTGACATCTGGGGACATTCGCCTTCTGTACGCAGTTCAGCCAACTCAGTATTCATAGAATTTATCATCCCCACATGTCTGCAGCCTCAAGGACAGGAGTGGAAAGGATTCAGCAAACACAATTTGAATCATACCTGATATCAATTCTTCTGTGTGGATATTCCTTTTCACCATCTTTACTGGGAAGCTGGCACACACCCTACATGGATATTTTAAACAATGTTTAGATGGCGTACACACTTCAGGCTTATGCGCACTTTCAGTGTAGCAGCAGGTCTAGGCTCTGGATGGAGGCCAGGGCGCGACCTGTGGCCTTTGGCCGCCTTGCTTACGGTGACTCTGTGTTACAGCAGCATTTGGCTCCATTCTGAGTACAAATGCAGAGGTGGCACAACTGTATCCCGCTGTGCAGAGAGACCACCCACCTACCCAGCACCACCCGCGAGGACAGAGCAGTAACTCCTGCAGGTGAAAATGTCGTTTGTAAACACACGGGCACCTGGATTATTAAAACCAGGTCTGCAACTTAATCAACCTGAAGCCCCTACTTAAAAGAGACATTGAACACTGTGCAGTCCAGAGTCCCAGGAACTTGTTGCGTCTCTACTGGGCAAGTGTTAAAGGATGGACAGGCAGGGCATGCCCAGTGTGTTCACCTGACCGTTCAGACCTAGTCCTGGACCTTGCTTTGGGTGTCCTGGTGCTTCTGCAGCTCTGCCTGACCCCATGACTACTCAGTCCTGCATGCTTCCAGCAACTCTCCAGCCAGCTTTGCTAACATCTTATCTAACCAGCTGGGGAATCAAAACTGTGTGGTAAACCACAGTCTGTGAGGAGTCTCTATCTGTGTAGTCTGTAAACATTATTATTAGTCAGTGAATTCCAACACTGTAGAAAGCCATGTTCCTGACATGTCGTGCTGGGGACAGGATGTACGACCTTCACCTTCTCGCTGTACTCCTAACTAACAAACCACACGGGGGCAGACAAGGATGCTGCTTCTAGGATCTGGCCTTTGTGGGTTCTAAACTAGAGATTATCAAGGAAAGCACCAGGCCTGAGGACGGAGACTAAAACAACCATGAAAGGAAACCTCAATAACAAAGATCATGCATAAGGCAAACACCCTGAGAAAGCTGCCAGTAATACTCGGGGACAGCAAGATTATCTGATTCGTGAACAGGCAGAATATTACAGGTGACGAACAATCAAGGAAAGTTTAAATATGATATAGAAAAGTTTGGAGAAATCTTAGAGACAAAACAGAAACAATAAAGACGACTGATCATCTTTCTTCTCTACACTTGAGTTTTCGCTCAGTGGCAGCTAAGGGTGCCTGGATTCACAGGCTTGTCATCTGTGGTAGAAATGGGTTTCAACTGCCTTTGTTCTTTTCCTCAAAGCTAGTTTTATTTTCTGATGTGCTAATGTTGAAGAATTCCTGTGTTGCTGTAAAATTCTTAGATTGCATAGATTTTGGTTTCATACCAAGTGTCTAAAATAAACCCTTTTATGTTCTCAGAGAAGTCAAAATATCTTGTACTGTCACTTGAATGGAAACAAACTGTCCCGGACTCGTAAACATGTTTACCTCCATAACTCGGGCTGGTCACTACAGTACCCAGCGTGACATTTTGGTGGCCCTGATGTCACCCTTTCCTCTTTGGCTCATCTTCACTCTGGTGCTGTGGCCAGCCGCCTGGACCACTGACAACTGACGGGATCTGGCTGAGAAGCCTCTTCAGTGAGATCCAAAGGCCTCTGGGCTGTGACTCAGCAAAGTACAAGCTAGGGAGTTCATGTCAGGCTCTCATGGGAAGCCTTACTTGTCTGGAAATGAAGGACTCTGGCCAAGGCTATACTCTGGTAGGGGACCTGAAGGCAACGGAAAAAGGCGGTCACCCCACGGTAGTCTACATGGGTAAAAGACCATTTTTCTCCCTTCTGTGAGCCACCTCACTCTCAATGTGTGGTACAAGCAGCAGCGGAGGCACACCCAAGACTACACATCTCTGAGTGCTGGCAGTCTCCGTGTCTGCTCTTTCCCCTCCTAGCCAGAATTCCTGATCTGAGAGACCTAAAAGTAGCCAAGTTTTTGCTTTCTTTAGGAAAATAAGTCCCTTCTAACAAAGACACAGACAGTTTTGATTTGTAAAACTTTTTCTGACCAACTGGTCAGCTTTGATTCTAGACTGGAACTAGGTTTACCTGAGAGTCACATGACTGTTCTTGGGGACATCCGTGCTAGAGCAAGCATCCATTGAGTCAATGCAGTGAAACCGGGTGTCACTGCTGACAACAGCAGGTCTGTTGCCTCCAAGGACACCTTCTAGGAGAACACTGCCCTTGTGAGTGTGTCACACTTCTACTCCCTGACCCGCTGATGTCTCCTCAGTGATCTTTTCAATTTGATCCTCACAATTAAAAAACAAACAAAACCAAAAAAGATTTTCCCCCTTTGTAAGGAAAGCAGTCTCTTACAACCACCCAAGGTCAAGAGCTCTGGCTCCCTCACGGCACAGTGAGCTCCTGCATCCTACAGTCAGAGGAATGGACTCCAAGATCTACATCCAAACGTTCACGGCTGTTAGCAGGATCCCACACCGTGAAAAGACATCACGTGTACCTTTCTAGGTCTCCTACAGCAGTGTCCATCTTCCTACACTTAGCCCTCAGATGACATCCTTAATGACCTTCCCGCTTGCCAAACACTAGCATGACTGTCTTAGGGATAATCAATGGCTTTTTAAATCGGATATGAGGCTGGCCCCTTTGAGGAATATCACATCTGGCACTAGAAACCTGGTCAGACGCCATGCTTGGAGAGGACACGGGTCCTGTTGGGTTGGCTCCTGTGCTTAAGTATTCACCTCTAAGCATCAGGGCTGCATTCGGTATGAGGCAGAGAAGCCCTCTGCAGCAGGTGGCAGCTATGGCAGGAGAAAGAGCAGCTATCGTGATCAGTCCTAAATGGGACATCTATATCACACCCTGAAGGTTCAGGGAACTGGCAGAAAGCGGACAGGAGGAAGGGTGGGACAGGGCACTGCACTCCTGAACTCTCTGTAGCCCTAAGTATCCCTGCACAAGAGTGGTCCCATCCCCATTCTGTTGTAGAGGGAGGACAGGCTCATGAGGCCATACCTCTATCTGAGGACTAACAGGCAGTTAAAGGGTGCCAAAGGAGAGACGCCTAGGAGGTTCAGCCTCTCCTAGGGATCTACACAGTGTTCATGGTGGTGACAGGTAGTCTCCTTCCTCTCTTAGTGGTTTAGGCACTGCTAAGTGGCCCATGCATGTACAGTCCCTACTCATGCTCCAGGAAGTGGGCCAGCAAACAACAGCAATACAGGAAGATGTGCAAGCAGAGGAGGACTGGTTGGAAGGAGAAGGAGATCATTGAGTAGACATGGGGGGACAGCCAAGGGTAACAAGGAATGATATGATAAAAATATATCACACACATACACAAGAACGTCATTAACATCTTACACATATGCATAAAAATGTTATAATGAAACTCATTACTGTAGTTAATATATGATAAAGAAAAAGCTAAAGGATCTGCAGAGACACACAGTAAGCAGAATGGTTGCAATACAAGCAGCAGGACTTGGGTTTGAGTCTATAACCATGGCAGGGAAAGTGCACCCCTATAACCTCAGCACTAGGGAGGCAAAGGTAAGAGGACCCATGGAGCTAATAGAGCACCCAGTCTATACCAACCTCTGAGTCCAGAGTGAGACAGAGTGTCTCAGAAAATAAGCTGAAGTCGATTGAAGGAAGCACCCAACAGTGACCTTTGGCCTCCACATCCACCACTACCCGAGAATATATACACCATATACCTTAACCTCTGTTTACTAACTCTGAACACTAGGTATCTGTCACAGAAATTTGTGAAAGAAGAGACAAAGGCCATAGAAACAGCAGAAAATGCCCTGGTCTATAACGACAATTTACAACTTCATAAAAAATTCTTAATCAGCACCTTCCAGATTCTCCCTGCCTCCTTACTCACCAATTTCATTTTCTCTCAAAGGAAAAAAAGGAAAATCAAAGAAACAAAAATCAAAACAGAAAAAAAAAAACATTTATCAGTAAGACCAAAAATACCAAAACAAAATATTCACATACACACAGGGTCTGTCCTGCAGTGTGGTCGAGTTGTCCAGTGAGATTCCCTTTACCAGCAAAAAGCTACTCTAGTGGGGGTGGGGCTTTGTGCCTGTCCACTTCCCCGTCTCCATGCTGGGATTTGTATGGTCTGAACCTGCGCAGATACCGTGTGTGCTGTCACGTTCTCTGTGAGTTCATGTACGTTATATGTCATATCTGGAAGACATGTTTTTATGTTTTAAATGCTTCTTAATGTAAATTACATACGCCCTCATTCTGAGTGAAAATCAAACTAAAGATTTAGAGAATGATCCTTATGTAAACCCTATTTCTATTTACTTTAAACTATTTTATTTATTGTGGTGTGTGTGTGTGTGTGTGTGTGTGTGTGTGTGTACAAGCATACCGGTGGGAGTATGGAAGCCAGAGGAGAACTTGCGCATGGTTCTTCTCCAGTGTGTCCTATGATAAACCTGGATTCCTCTTCTCCCCCAATTGCTGGAACAGATTACTAATCAGGCAATTCTAGCCTCTCTCAAAAACCTTCAGAGAATATGAAATCACTTACTATTTTAAGAAAGTACTGCATGCCAGTCATTATGAATAATTTTAAAGAGCAAATTCTGCATAATATTTATCTTGAAGATTCAAATTATTGACAAAGAGTTTACAAGAAAAATCCTGCTATTACTTTTACCAAGCTCTCAGAGTTATGCTATTTGCTTTTTCTTCTTGTTTTGAGGCAGCATCTCTCTATGTATGGAGCCCTGGCTGAAATGGAGCTTTCAATGTAGACCAGGCTGGCCTCAAACTCACAGGTATCTTACTGCCTCTGCCTCCTGCGTGCTAGAATTAGAGGCTTGCACCTCCACACCCTGTAGCTATCTGTGATGGTAACAGAAAACTACAAGTCACAGATATATTTAAACACTTACCATGAACTTGGTTTCACCCTTTGACAGAGTGTCTGTAATGAAATGGACTTTCTGTAACTGCTCCACAACACGATGTAACAGCTTCGGCTGTATAGTTACAGTCAAGAAATAAAAAAAGAATACTGTTACAACAAGAAAACTCCCTCATTGTAAGATGGATCACATCTGCTTAGACATTCTGAGGTACCTGTTTGCTTGACTCTGAGGTGAAGTTTGGGTGGGTCAGAAGAACATCCATGTCTCCACTGGACTCTGCCCCTATGATAACAAAGAACAAAGACCTACTAACTAGGCCAAGCTAGAATGAAATAGAAGACACACATACACACGCCTTACTTCCAACAGGGTAACCTTCTACTACTCAGGTGTACTGACAGAAACAACAGGATATGGGATAAACAATAGTTTTACATATTTCCACTCATGAATAAGCACACTTAACTAATACTATGGGTTTTAGTCCATGAAGTGACACAAATTACATATTTTTAATTCACATTGTCACATATACTAGCGACTTTACCATCAAGTCACGAATAACTCAAGACTGTGAAGTATGTTACCTCGTCTGAAACTGCCACAGACTGTAGCAATGTATTCGGGATCCACTCTTTTAACTTCGCCAAGTACAATATCCTAACAGAAGAAAAGCTAGGTCAGTGCTCAAAAAACAAAAGGCACCCATACACTAATGGAGAACACATAAGGAGCCGTACTTGCATCTGCAGCATCTCTTCACGAGGAATTCTTTTTTCAAAGTCCTCAAAATATCTAGGAAGACAGAGCAAGTGGAGAGATTTCTGTATAATTTTAATCTCTTTAAAAATTGCCCCCAAATAAGCATTTAAGCAGATCATACTCAGAAATCAAGACTAGAATTCACTGAAAAGAAAGCCAGGGCAGGTGTGGAGAAGGACTCTATTCCTGTCTATTCTATTAGTTCAAGTCCTGAACAGAATCATTTGTAAATTTCAGACTTCGCATTCACACAGCAGGAATGAAGAAATGGGGCTGAGAACAAAACTTAGTTGGTAGACTTTTTGCTGGTTCAGACCTGAGTTCCCAGGTCTGCACAAACCAGGTGTGGTGGCACATGCCTGCAAGTACAGCACTTTAGGGGGTGGTCATTGCTCTCTGGCTTGTTACAAAGCAATTTCAAGGCCAGTTCAGGACACATGAGATCCAGTTTAAACAAAGCTAAACAAACAACACAAACTACAGTAATTATATATAAATTATTGCTTCATGCTTTCAAAGCAGACTACTCTCTGCTGGTAAGCTAAAGGTTTAAAGGTCAAAGCACCTAAAAACTAAAAACAGAACGGAGGCTCTGATGTGCTCCTGCCCTGAGGGTAGCTAGATGCTAAAGAATCTATGTATGGTTTTATTTCCTTTCTAAATAATGATAACACACAGCATCAAAAAGTTAGAAGGAATTTTGAATGTTTACAACATGAAAAAGATAAATGTTTAGGATATGGGTATGTTTACCCTGATTTAAAATATTATACAATGTATACATGTAACAAAACATGTTGTAACAAAATGTTATGCAATATACACATGTAATAAAACATGATATCCCATAAATATATGCAACTTTTGTTTTTAGCCCCATAAATATGTACAATTTTTTTCGGCTTAACGTCTTCATTTTTTCCCTTTAAAAAAAAAAAACCCAATCTTTATTCATTTTACATACCAACCCCAGTCCTCTCTCCCTCCCTGTAATTTTGTTTTTATACATCAGTTGAAAGTTATATCAATAGTTTTCAAAATTTTTGTATTTTATATAGTACCCCACAACATGGATGAACCTAAGAAAATAAGATGCTGAGTGAATAAGCCAGTCATGAAGGATGTGTGGACCATCCGGAACAGGAGAAGTTGCATAGATAGAAAGGCTCCTGGTTTCTGAGCTTGGAGAGAAGTGTGTGAGGGTCAAATGGGGAAGAACATACTAGGGTCCTTTAGGGTAAAAAAGATGTCCTAAAACTGACTGGAATAGTGGTTGCACAACCCTGTAAATATATTAAAAGTTATCCAACTGTGTATTTTACACAGGTTTACTGCATAACACATAAACTGTATCTCAGGAAGGCCAATAGGATGATATCTTAGCACAAAATAGTGTCTACACATATGCCTAAGAATGATTGTGCATGTGTCCAGAATAGTTCTGGGTACCTAGGCTCTTCAGAATACCTCAAAAATCCCCCTAATTCAGGTTATCCATAGACTACACAAATGCAAGGAATCGCAAGGCATAATCAGGAAAAAATGCAATTTGGAACAAATTAAGATTATGTAACACCAGATACCCACACACAGTGCTAGTATACCAACACTGTAAGCGGCACCTGCTACACAAAACCATTACGATGCTGACATACTACACTGTCATTCGTATTTGAAATCTTTCTTATACTCATGTAAACTGTACATGCAGCATGTCCTTCTCAGACTGGGAGTAAGCTCCTGAAGAGCTACCTGAGCTGGGTGCAGTATCTCAGGTCTGGGTAGTCTGAGGCAAGGGAATCCCAAGTCTGAGACCAGCTTGGGCTACAAAAGGAGTGCAGGGTGAAACCAAGTCTCAAATAACAACCCCCACCAACAGAGAGCCACACCTCACCACTTGACAGTTTTTCCCTAGACCCGGTTTTGCATGATATAAACAGGAAGTGAACACCCAAAGGCTATCTGCTGTGCTCAGATCTCAGTTCTCTGTATTTAAAAGGAAGCTGCTCCCCAATTAGAGTTGAGAGAATGAAAGGAATTCTCAAAGTAAAAAAAAAAAAAAGGCTAGAATGTAATAATAAAATATAAAAACTTTGCAAGACTCTGCAACAAATTTTAGCATTTCTGAATAGAAAAATGGTTGACTTTAGCTACATCTAAAGGTTATGGTGTACGACAGAATGTCTACACACGAATATGTAACAACTGTTGAAGAAAGGGGCCAGGAATTCCAAAGAGAGCAAGGCGAGGTCTCTGTGAAGGAGGGAGGAGAGGAAATGGAGAAATACTAGTATTTTATAATCTCAAAAAGTAAAGTAGAATGTCTCTGAAAGCTTTTACATCTCAAGTATCAAAATTAGCTATCTTACTTTAGCCCGATTCGTTGATGATGGTTCAATTTATCTTCATTTTTCCTGAGATCTGAATAGAAGATAAAGTTGAGGTGCTTAGTTTGAATACATTTTAGAAAAGATATTAAACTTCTTTACCTTTCCTACAAAGAACTACGCTGAAGAAAAAGATATTGAAATGGTTTTCAAAACATGATGGAAAAACCCCACGGACACTGAGAACTAAACCCCACAGACACTGAGAACTAAACCCCACAAATACTGAGAACTAAACCCCACGGACACTGAGAACTAAACCCTACAGACACTGAGAACTAAACCCCACAAATACTGAGAACTAAACCCCACGGACACTGAGAACTAAACCCCACAGACACTGAGAACTAAACCCCACGGACACTGAGAACTAAACCCTGCAGACACTGAGAACTAAACCCTAAGGACACTGAGAACTAAACCCTAAGGACACTGAGAACTAGTGAAAACACTTTTCAAATCAATGCTGCAAACAGCTGGTTTTAAGATCATTTTTATGTAATACATCAAAATTTCAACTTGAAGTCGATGAAAGAGTACACAAAGCAAACAAGGGATAAGAGGCAATCTTACTGGTCGTAGTTAAAACACGGTAAGCAGATCTAACATCGCTTACTATACTGTCACCACAGTTTCCTAAGGTTTTTTTTTTTTTTTTTTTGGAGACTGAGTCTCACTGTGTAGTCCTGGCTGGCCTTGAACTCAGAGGTCGGCCTGCCTCTGCCTTTCCAAGAGTTAGGTTTAAAGGTGTCCGCCACCATGTCCGGTCTACACTCAGTCTTCTTAAACGTGCTGGCTGCCTTGTTCAGCTTGCTTTGAGATGAATTTGTGAAGACATGTGCTAAAATGGGGAGGGGGCATCATCTTTATCGTTTACTCTGCAAATGCTGTAATATTAATGTGAATGGCATGAATGTAGTAGCAGCTCTTGTTAAAGAAAAAGCTTCAAATATAATTTGTCTAATCACCAGTATACTGATAGATACATAAGTTTCCTATGAAGAAATGGAGAATATGCATATTTATGACACATGAACATACACTACCTCCCAGAAAAAACACTCCCAAACATCTGACATGAAATGGAAAGGATTACAAGTCTGTACACAGTCACCATTATATTACACATGTGAATTATGAAATATAAAAACTAGGAGATTCTAGACGTTACCAGGTGGATAACTTTGTCAAAGGCACAAGTTCTTGACCCTTTTGAACAATCATCTCACTGATTGATAAACAGTTTATGTTACAAGCAAAAAAATACAAAATTCTCCTGAGACATACAGGCAGTTTATTTTCTGACAATTTGGCTCATAAGTAGTATCACTAATATAAAGTTCCTGCAAGTATGTTACCATCCTTAAGTGTTTACTACTCACCAAACACTCTAAGTGCCTTACCTTGTTACGATATCGAACCTATGAGTCAGAAACACCTACCACATGGTCCAGAAACTGAAGAACTAAGCTCACTCACTGCAATAATGTATTGGGAGTGGCATTTAAACCTCCATCAGTTTCCAAACTCTGTCCACCTAACCTATCTGCGTAGCTTAAAAGTCGCCAAACTCACACCAATATTTCATCTTGTGCTAAGGGTGGCACAGTAAACATCCCATGGGTGTGCTAATGGATCCACAGGTACTCTCGGGAAAGCACGAGGAGATAAGCTACATTTAAAAGGTGCTTACATTAGGTTAGAAAAATATACTAAACTGTCTGGTTTAGGCTCTAACCGCCCCCCCCCCCCATTTTTGGAAAGCAAACATTCCTCCAACAGCACCGTGCATCTCTAAAAGAAACACTGTCAACATACAAAATCTAGCTTTTAGTCTAAGATGTACTGTCTAAACACTGTTTAGAAGCAAGCAATTTAGAACTTCTAAAAATTGTCAAATAATCTCTACTTAGTTGTCTTTAAGCTGAGAAGTCTATCATGTGCTGTTTGAGTTTACTAAGAAGCTAACTTTCAAAGCAGGGATGCTTCCCCTTCCCCTGGTCCCTCCATTTCAGACCGAAGCACATGCAGCTCAAAGAGTCCTTCAAGGCCCTCTTAACTCTGTGACAAGGGGAAAAACAGCCTGAGAGGAAGAACACAGCCCTGATAGGCAGATCACTGCTAACACAGGTCACTGTTCTTTAACCCTGATATAAAAGCACCTGCAGTGAGAGAGAGAAGCTGGAGGTTCAGCCATGGGAAGCTCATCCATGCAGAAAAGCTTCCCCAGGAATTCCAACTGACTGCTTCAACTTCTTCAGCGGATTCTGCGGCTATTGTGAGGCACCAATCTGATGATGTCATTTGTTGCTTGCTAGATTTGTTCCTTTACTCATAAGACTCTGCAAACGGGACACTGTTCTCTTCAGGACTCTTTCCACTGGGGACTTCACCTGGCTGCCTTAAAGGGGCTTCTCCAGTTGATTTGCACTACACGTGCTAAGTCGGGGTTGGATAATGTTTTATCTATCTGCTACTTACCGTTTTTCTCTGGCTTGCTATTATATTTGCTGATTCAAAACACAGATGCGGCTTTAGAGCTCATTTTCCAGCTCGTACAACACAAAGCAACTTCCTGCTTGTCTCAGGTTTTTGTCGCAAACCTAAAAAAGCCGAGGCCTGGAAGGTGGATGTCACCCTAGCTCTGCTCTCTACTGTGCGGCGACGACCAATTTCTTTATCTGCATTTGTTTACTGAGAATGGGACTTTCAAGGTGACCTTGTTGGAGATTGAAATTGGACTTAGTGATACGTGATACTTACCTTCTAATGTTTTAATTCCTTCATCTACAAACTTCCTTGCAGCAGATGGCCTACGACAACAACAACAAAACACCGTCTCAGAATCAAGTGAAACTCAAGGCTTTTAAGATAATCAATTATGCCTTTTATTGTCAGGCACAGAGCTTTTATTAAGGTAAACAAGACTTGCTAAATGCTGCACGGTTTCTTTGCTAATGTTCATCTTACCCAAAGACTTTTGGATCTTACGTCAATTGATGGACAACCATGAACTTGAACATAAAAAGACACCTAAGCAGCTAGCTATCATAATGTTCAAGCACAGATATGTGGGCCCTTGAACACTCATTAACTCAACTGAGTCCCACACACACTGCTGGAGACACTGCACAAACAAGACAAATAACAGCGCTGGCATTTACCCACTCCTATGCCAGCAGGCAGAGAAAAACAACAGATATAAACATAAACAAGAAAAATGTCAGGCAGATGAACACAGCATGACATGACAGAGCAGCAGCATCTCAGTGTAACTGGATAGGAAGTCCAGACTCTGAGATGCTGAGCTGATAAATGGATGGCAAAAAGCCAGCTGTTTGGGAGACTAAAGGGAAAAAAATCCAGATGGAGAAACAATTCATGAGAGACCCACAGATAAGCATGAGCTTGGCTTGCTCAAGAAGGAAATTAGTACGGCTGAATGAGAGGATGATACAGATTACCACCAACCACCACACAGGGGTCACCTGCGATAGAACTCCATAAGCCATGGTGGTTAGTTTGGGTCTTCCTATGAGCACAATGAATAGCCATGAGAAACGAGGAAAAGCCAGTCATGAAACCTACTTTAAGTTTATAGATTATCACCGCAATGACTGGGCTCAACAATAAAGTGATGTGTTATGGTAAACTATTTAGCTGGCAGTGGCAACAGGAACAACACCTATATCTCCCAACCTGTTTACACTGTGTCAATTTTTGGTATTATAAAGAGAAAAAAAAAGGAGAAATATGCGCATGTGCACACACACATATCAAGCACACTGGTCTGGGAGACTTAGCAAACATTACATGTGGTGCAGAAACTAACACTGATGTTAGGAGGCACCGTGACAAAGAAGAAAACTGAACAGGGAGCCAGAAGACAGTTTTTAACTCTGGTTACGCAAAAGCTGCTTACTTCCTATGTGTGTTTCAGTTTTCTTTCCTGAAAAAGAAGGTAATATTCCAAATATTCCCTAAATTATCTTCAGACAGACATTTTAAAAGTAGCTTCGGATCTCTGAGGAGTCATGCTGATTTTCAGTTATTATGTTTAAAACCTGAATAAAGGTCAGTTAATGAGGCAACTATTATACAGCTGAAGGAATGTTTTGATTCATAAGGATGAAAGAATAAAGTACCACAGGCCTAATATTCCATGCTAAACTTGCAGTATTCAGTGTTCAAGAAGTTCTCTTTGTTGCTAGCCCCAAATTAACTTTAAGATAAAAAATTTACTAGCCCAAATTTTAAAAAGGGCTGTGAAGAAATTCTTAAGATAAACATGCAGCAGACACAGTCTACAATAAAAAGACGCAGAAGCAAGTGCTGGGTTTGGGGGGAAGAAAGCACTGTCTGGGAACCAGGCTGGTTCGGGAAGGTGCCAACACTACCTGCCCTGGGTGGGCTAACAGAACAGCAGCTCGAGGACCAGCTGCAGATCCCCGCGCTATGCAAGGACAAACAGAACGGGCAAAGGCCCGAAGGTAGGTGGAGAAGTGCAAGTTCTGAAGGAAGAAGCATGTACTTTAGTTTGGGTGACATCATAGTAAGACTGATCTACAGCCCTGACTACTTAGGAAAGAGTTCTTACCCAATGCCAGTAACGCGAGTCAGGAAATTGATGGACGAACTCGTATCATCCTGACGAATCTTTAAGAAAAACAATCTATTACTGACTTAGGAATGCTCTGTGAACTGAAGTGATCTTATTGGAAACACACCAAGATGCAAAAAGCAAAGCACAAAATCATTGCATTTGTAGAAAACACACGTGACCTAAGTAGCTTGTGGGCGATAACAGAGTAGTAAAGACATCTCATCTCTAATTTATTCAATACGCACAGTACTTGGTTTTGGTTTTATACATATGTTGTAAAATGATTAGATCTAGAGAACTACAAATGATCACCTTGTGTAGTTACTTTTGTAATATGAACATTTAATACCCACTGCCCTTTCAGCTTTCAATTTTCTAATTCTTTTATTAAAAGGACTAGTCACAAAAGACCAAAAATTATATCAAAAATTAAAATCAAACAAAAACCATTAAAATGCTCAAAAGAGTCCAGGCACAGACTGAATAAATGAATGACAATGCTTTTTCATCAAGACATATCACTTTGAATGGGACAATGAGAGGCAACTCTACCAGACAGTCTCTCAAGGGCCACATACGGTAATGGGAGGCCCACGGAGTGTTACAGAAGCAACATTTTAAAAAATAGGATGTTTAACGCCAATTATCACTTTTGCTTCTGGGTCTAAGGTGAATTACGTCAATTATTCTGCTCTGTGCCATAAGGGAGGAACAAAGAATTTAATTAAAATGTTACCTTTTCAAGTTTACGCAATTTTCCAGTTGCCAAAAATTCATCGATCTTCTCAGCAATTTTTGTTCCTACTCCCGGCTACACAGAAAATTAAAAATAAAGAAGTCATATAAATATAATGTCTACCAAATCACTAAAAGATAACACCGAGGAGTAAGAAGCAAGGGGTTATTGGACAAGTTCTGAAGCAGAAGGTATGGAAAAGAAATCACTGGGAAGAAACTCCTCAGAATAAAATGCTTAAAAGATGGACAGAGAAAGCCTAGTAAATAACTTTAAATGACTCTTGTTTACACAGAATTAACTTCTGGGGGCTGGAAATGCAGGTCAGTGGGAAAGAGGACCTGGACGTGCTCCCAGTACACACAAGCACCCTACTTTTATTATGGAGAACTGAGAAAATGGGGCTGGCAAGATGGCTCTGTGGGTAAGGGCACTTGCTGCCAAGCCTGATGACCCGAGTGTAACCCGTGGAACCCACATGGTGGAAGAAGAAACAGTTCCTGCAAGCCGTCCTCCCACCTCCGTGTGTACCACTGCACACACGCATAGGTTAATGCAAACAATTTTTAACCAAAAAAAAGAGGGAAATGTGAAAATAAAGTTACACACAGTGTTAAGATTGCTTATTAATCTCATGGCTCTAAAAATTAAGTAGGAAAAAAAATCACCTGTACGCCCATCCTTTAACATTCGCTTGTACTATTTATTTAACTGAGACTCTCTAAGAACAGGGTTGTCCATGGTACCATTATAATTTTGTCAAATATTTGAAAACCAATCTAAGGTTCACAAGTAGGGTATCTGTTAAATAAATTCATAAAATGAACTAATATGCAGCCACAAAACCACAGTATTTATTGGTAAAATAAATCTGTTTAAGTGTGTTAAGAGAAAGTAGATATATTGCGACTAGAGAAACGGCTCAACAGCTAAGAGCATTGATTGCTGTTGCAGAAGATCATGTTCAGTTCCCAGCACCTACAGAGTGGCTCACAACTGTAACTTCAGTTCCAGGGACTCCTATGTCCTTTTCTGGCCTCCATAGGCTGCTGTATCCACATGGGGCACATAAACCCACATAACCACACACATATACACATAACAAAATTTTCTTTTTAATTAAAAAAAAAAAGCTGGATAGTGGTGGTACATAACTTCAACCCCAGCACTTAGGAGGCAGAGGGAGGCCAATCTGAGTCAGCCTGGTCTACAGAGAGTGTTTCAGGACAGCCAGAGCTTCAGAGAAACCCTATCTTGAAAAACCATCACCACCACCAACAAAAAATCAAATATACTCTTAAAACACAGAATACCAAGTCTCACCCTAGAGTTTCTGATTTGCTATGACTTAGGTAGGTAGAAAGACCAGCAACCTGCACTTCTATGTTGCCACAGAGCACTGAGGCTACTACTCTAGGACACCCCAGTGAGAATCACTACCAGACTGACACATCCATGAGGTCTTGCCAGTATTACAATAGTCACATGACAATTTAACTGTACTTGAGACTTTGTGTTCTTCAGCTACAGTAACCGCATTTCAAGAATTCAATGGCTAGAGGAGGCCCATGGTTGCCATACTAGATAGCAGTCATCTCAAATGTAAACCATGAAAGAATAAAGATCCCGTCTTTTTACTGCATTTCCCCAGTGCTTATGCATGTACTTGCTCAAGGTTAAGAACTAGTGAATTCTTGTTATTTATTAGCTCCATGAGGACCAAGTCTTTGAAGTGAAAATCCTGGGTCAAAATATACACATTTCATAGAGCCACCTTTAATGCCAGTTCTACCAAGGCTGAAGCAGGGGATCGGTGGGAGTTCCAGGCCAGCCAAGGCTACATAATGAGATCTTGGTCTCAAAAACGGGGGGAAAGATATACACACTCCGTCAAATGATGCATCAGAAAGACTGTACCTCAAGCAGTAACCATTTCTGTCCACATGTCATATCACACTTGGTAATCTGACAGGCACAACAGCGCATCTTGTCTCAATCTAAATTAACCAAGTTTTGTGATTATTGGTGAGAGTGTAAGCACATACGCCACAATGTGCACGTAGAGGTCAGAGGGCAAACTGCTAGAGTCCCTTCTCTCCTTCTACTACGTGGTCCTAAGGACTGAATTCAGGTTCAGCAGGCTTGGCAGCAAGCGCCTTTATCTACTGCTCCATCTGGCCAGCCCTGTTTAAACCACCAGTATGCACAAAAATATGACATGACTCAGTTTCTTGCTTTCTTCCCCATCCCCCCAAAAAAGTCAGGGTTCACTACCGAGCTCTGATGTAGACCGAACTGGTCCTGGGTTCATTAAGACTGGCCTGCACCTGTGTCCTGTGTGCTGGGATTAAAGGCATGTGCCATAATGTCTGCCCCCACATTCACCTCTTTTTTTTTTTTTGGATTTTCGAGACAGGGTTTCTCTGTAGCTTTTGGTTTCTGTCCTGGAACTAGCTCTTCTAGACCAGGCTGGCCTCTAACTCACAGAGATCCACCTGCCCGGCTCACCTTTTTATGTTCTGTATTTATTCGATAATTTATAAAGCCTCAAAAACTACTGAGAACATATTTAACTTTGGAAAGGAACACTTACCAAGAAGTATACAAAAGATTTAGGAAGATCAGATATAAGAAATGACTCAGGCTTCTCATTTTTTTAATGAGAAATAAACTGGATAATTAAAAGATAAACTGTTTACAGAGAGTAATGAATAATTTTACTCAGTAGCATACTGGCCACCAGCAATTCAGACCCTGGCTATTTCTATACCTAACATAACAGAATAAAAGGCAAAAAACTCATTTTGAAAATCTCAGATTTCTAGAATTATTCAGAAGCATCCACAGGAGCCAGACAGCAGATTGGTCTGAGATTGTTAGATAAAATCATAAAAATATTAGTATTTTTAACGTTAAGTTCAGTCATAAAAATTTTAGATTATTTTTATTGCTTTGGAGGCTATATTCAGATTGAGATGACCTATATCAGGTTTTCAAGAATCATTATAAAAATCACTGGGTTGCCGGGTGGTGGTGGCGCATGCCTTTAATACCAGCACTCCGAGGCAGAGGCAGGCGGATCTCTGTGAGTTCAAGGCCAGCCTGGTCTACGAGAGCTAGTTCCAGGACAGGCTCCAAAACCACAGAGAAACCCTGTCTCGAAAAATTAAAAAAAAAAAAAATCACTGGGTTCTTTGCAACAATGGTCTAAAAGGCTTGTCAGTGGTGATAAAAGGACAAATGGAAATAGGAACGACTGTTTAGATTTACGTCAAAAACCGTCTCGAAAAAAACAAAAAATAAAAAAAAATAGATTTACATCAAAACAGAGACACAGAACAAGAATTAAAGTCCAGTGCATTTAAAACATGGTTGCTTACTGTATATTTAGAAAAGATCAACTTACAGCACAAAGGATTTAAAACCCACACACTGGAGCGTTGTTAAGTAACAAATTCAAGGTTAAGATGTGACACGTGATTGATGTGAAGTTCCTCTTTCAGCTATAAGAGTACCAGATTTACCGAATTACCAAACAATGAAAATATAAGGACAGAAATGGTTCATAATCCCAAGGCTCTTCTGAGAATGTCAAGGACAACCACGTGGCAGTAGTTCAAGTCCAGAGGGCTTTTATGAAACATAAACTATGGGGAGAAGCAACGATCTCAGTACCCGAACCATTCAAAGATCAGGTCAGCTTGGCCTCATCAACAAAGGAGAAGTCAGGTATGGTCCTTAAATGTGAGGAACTGCAGCTTACTTCGGGAGGCTTGGATGAGAAAGAACATCAACAGGCAGATGCCCCGGATATTCTCCATGAGATCACAAATCACCGAGACATGTGGCTCTCTAGGAACCGTGACACTTCTGGCCTCACAGAAATTAGACAACAGTGCTACCCTAATACAGGGTGCAGGCTGGCTGGTGAGTTCTACTAGAGAGTACTAACCCACACAAATTCCTGGGAATCACAGGATGGCTGAGGGACTCCTAGAACCAGACTAATAGCATTCCCTGTGCCTATGGTCGTCTGAAGGACTCACATTTAAGGTGAGTTTCAGCTTGAGAATGAGTGCATATGGCAAAGTATAGGAAGGAAACAGACTGCATAATGTCTTCTTTCCAAATAAAAGTATTAATACTATTCTAAGAAACCAGGAGCAATGAAATTGGTCTGTGGTGGTCAAAGGCACTGCAGAGAAGTGAGTTCATTTTATGGAAACATATCAAATGTTTACACGTATGAACTCTTCAACTACATACTCATTAAGCTTACCAATTTCTTAGCTTCTGCTCCACTCTTGATTTTGTGTGGGTACTTTGCTATAACAGATGCTGCTTTTCTATACAAAAAAGGGGAGGGAGAAAAAAAAAGAAAAATGATTGAAAATCCAGCAAACACTTAATTTTTTTCTTAACTGAAATAAACACACAAATACCCACATAATTTATTTATTTATTTTTTACAAATATAGCTGTTTTCTACTATGTAAAAACTTAAAACTGGATCACTGGATGTTCAAAGACTTGGAAAGAGCCTGATGGGAAATTGGTGAGAAAAGGATCTGGGGAAGAAGACGGAGGCTATGCGTGGGCTCGACAACATGGACTGCCATGGCTGACCTGGCTACAGCTGCTAGGTGCCAGGTGTGCCAACAGCAGAGACCGACACTGAGCCCCAGATACGGCATTTCCTAGAATGATCTGCCACAGACCTGGTGGCAGGCTGACTACACTGGACCACTTCTTCCATGGAAAGGACAACACTTTGCCTTACTGGAGTAGATACTTGTTAAGTTTACGGATTTGCCTTTCCCGAACACAATGCTTCTGACAAAACTACCATCCATGGGCTTACATGCTTTATCCACCATCACAGTGTTCCACACAGCATTGCTTCTGACCAGAGGACTCACTTCACAGCCAGACCAAGTGTGACACTGGTCTCACCGTGTTCCCTACCATCCTGAAGCAGATGGCCTGATAGCAAGACAGAATGGCACTTTGAAGACACAGTTACAGCATCAATTAGATGGCAGCAGCCTGGAGGCTCTCCAGAAGGTGGTGCAAGCTTTGAATCAGCATCCTTCATATGGTACAGATTCAGAAAGCATTCTCTACCAGTGCTGCTGGGAGACTGGACGTCCACAAGCAGCAGAAGGAAAACAGATGCGCAACTATCAGCCTGAACAAAACTAACTCCAAAGGCCTAAACCTGAAGTCGAAAACCTAAAACTTCTAGAAGAAAACATAGGCAGCCCCCTCCCATGATAAACGTGTAGGAAAGGAATTTCTGAGTAAGAATCCATTTGACCAAGAATGAAGGCCAACAGCTGACAAGGGGATTTAATAAAACTAAAACTTCTGTGCAGCTAAAGAAACAATCAGGTGGGGCGGTGGTGGCGCACGCCTTTAATCCCAGCACTTGGGAGGCAGAGGCAGGTGGATCTCTGTGAGTTCGAGACCAGCCTGGTCTACAAGAGCGAGTTCCAGGACAGGCTCCAAAACCACAGAGAAACCCTGTCTCGGAGAAAAAAAAAAAAAAAAAAAAAAAAGAAACAATCAGGTGAAGAGGAAGCCATGGAATGGGAGAGAATCTTTGCCAACTATACACCTGACAGAGGATTAATACAAGGAACTCAAAAAAACAAATAATAATGAAAACCAACCTAATGAACAACAATAACAAAACCAAACCAGAGTTATTCAAAAAATAGGCTAGGGATCTAACAGAGAGCTCAAACAAATATAAAAATGGCTAAGAAATATCTCAAAAATGTTCATAATCTCGAGCAATTAGGAAAAAGAAAATCAAAACAACTTTGAAATTTTATCTTAACCCAGTCAGAATGGCAAAGGTCAACGAAACAACCAACAACAAATGCTGGAGAAAGTGAGGGGAGACAGGAATCTAGTTCACGTTGGTGGAACTGCAAACTAGTGCAGCCACTCAGGGAAGTAACCTGGAAATTTCTCAAAAAGCTAAAAAGGAACCTACCATATGACCCAGCTACAACACTCCTCGGTACATGCCAAAGAACACTTGCTCAGTCATGTTCACTGCTGCTCTATTTACAACAGCAAGGGAATGGAAGCAACCTAAATGTTCTTCAGTCAACAAATGGATAATAAGAATGTAGAATACTATTCAGTTATAAAAAAAATTAACTGGATGTGGTGGCATACACCTTTAATCCTAGCACTTGGGAGGTAGACACAGTAGGATCTCTGTGAGTTTGGGGCTAGTCTGGTCTACAGAATGAGTTTCAGCAAAGTCAAAGATATATAGAAAGACCCTGCATAAAACAACAATAACAACAAAACAAACAACAGCAAAATAAAACAAAAATGAAAGCACTAACTTTGCAAGTAAATGGATGTAACTAGAAAAGGTCATACTGAGTAACCCAGATCCAGAAAGATAAATATCACGTGTTCTTCTCCCTGGAGGCTCCTAGCTCCAAATCTTCAGATGTGAGTGCATACCCTGGAGTAACTGCAAACCAGGTAGGGTAGAGGCTTTGGGGGAGCATTAGGAAGAATAGCAAGGTGTGATGACAGGGTGAGGAGTGAGAGAAAAAGGTGGGGCTCTAATTAGGGAGTGAGGAGAGATAAATACAGAAGAAGGATAAAATAACAGTATGCATGTCTGAAAGTGCCATAAGGAATCATTAACATTTTCCTAAAAAAAAAAAACCTGCCTATAATAAATGTAAGTCTGCATAAATATACACACATAGTTTAAAATCTGGGCAGACAATGCCCCCTCCAACTGCCAAAACACACCTAACAAAAATCCAAGGCCAGGCACAAAAAGCCCTCTTTTGAGTTTTTGGCCAGGGCTGTCCTAGAGACTCCCCCAAACATACAGGCTATTGCCTTTGGTGGCAACCCAGAGGTAGAAGAAAAGTCCCTATTCCTGAAGACACCATGCACCTCAGACACAGGCCTCTGAGCTGGAACTAACATGAATGTCCCTTCTCTGAAGACTAGCTTTCCTGGTCTCAGAAGGCAACCAGGCAAGCTCCCAAAGGAGGGAGGCAACCAACAGTCCCACACAGCTAAGACTCCTATGAACCACGATGACCACCTGCACGGCAGGACAACCCTAAGAGTGCAGCAGAGACACGCACTTCTTAGTGCTAACCAGCAGCTCTCTAATTGGACGTAAGAGTCACTCATCAAGAGGGAAAACATGCCTGGTACTGGAAACATAGTCAACTACCCAGGCTAGCAAAGAACCTATAACCACCTCTTTCCTAAAGCAGCATAATCCCTAACTATATTCTAAATGTTCATCCTTATACCCCCAGCTAAGTGTAGTCTTTTCCCTCTCTTTGCAATAGACAGAGGCCATTAGAAAAAAACCACAACCAATCAAACTGCAGAGCCATGGAGCCAAGTCCTAACGGATTCCTCTACAAAACAACTCCTAAACCCCAGGCTCAGGGAACATTGTGGAAGAGGAAATGGAGAGATTGGGAGAGCAGGAGGATCAGGAAGTTTGCGATGAGATTTGTCACATAATAATATCAGGAGCTACACCCACAAAGTCTCACTAACATGACTGCTAAAACATGAGCTGAAAAAGGACGAAAATAATAGACACACCAATGTGGTCAAGACCTCAGACCTACACAGTAAATGAAGGAGCGCTGAGAGCAGAGCAATAGTCTTCCCCAGAGAAGAGTAAACCAATCGGTTATCCAAGACCAAATGGTCAGCCCTGTTATATGGACTGAATAGGTTATATTTATGTGTTTAGAAATATATATGTACATACAAATATGTACAGTTATAACAATAATTAATAAAAAAAAGGAAGCCATGAATTTTAAAGAGATCAAGGTTATCTATGGTAGGGTTTGGAGGGAGAAAAGGAAAGAGGAAATGATGTAATAATAATCTCAAAAGTAAAATGAATAGCAGATATAATACTAATAAAGGATGAGTCCTGAGTAAATTCAGGTATAAGACAGGCTACTAACGCACACTAATTGTAAGGTGGTAAGAGCTAGCTTGGGAAAATGAGGATGGTTTGTTTAAGCCGAGGGCTTTGGGCATGTTTATAGGCTAAGTAGCTGATGTCGGAGAAGTAGGTGACTGGGGATGCAGGCTAGGCACCTCAGAGAGTGCCTGCTGAGGTCTGTGGGATGGGCAATGCTTTTCAGAAAGTGACAGGATTAGTCAGTCCAAACAGAACAAACGTGCTTTTCTTGAACCACAGCTATTTCTTGTTTTGTTTTGTTTGAGACAGAGTTTCCCCGTGTAGCCCTGGCTGTCCTGGAACTTGCTCTGCAGGCCAAAATGGCCTAGAACTTATAGATGAGACTGCCTCTGCCTCCCGAGTGCTGGCCACAGCTATTCCGTGAGACAGAGCGCATCTGCTGCTGTTCATTGTTTTAAAGCTACATTGTATTACTACATCTACTTTCAGTCCAAATTGGAAACTCACTTGAATCAACTCTATAAGACGCAGTCAAAATTCTGTACACGTTAAATAAAGTTGCCACTCGGTTTTTCGTTTTTTAAACCCTCCCTCTGATCGTCCAAAAGTCCCTGGACACCCGTCACCCCATCCCTGCTAAAAGACTCCCTCAGCCAGGAGCGGCAGCTTACAACGTACCTGTACGCGTTGTACTTGTGGATTGCCTGGCTCACGTTCTTCTCAAAGTTTGCGAGTTCTGAAAAAGACAACAAAGAGCTCGAGTAAACAGGCGCACAGCCGGGAACGGCGGTCCCGGGAAGGGGGTGTGGGTGGGTTCCTCCCGGGACGGACGTGGCCGGCACGGACGCGGCGGCTGCGACCAGGGAGACAGCAGCGAGGCCCGGCTGAGAAGAGGCACCGGAGGGCGGCCCGGGACTCACCCACGAGCATGTCTGTGATGCCGCCGTTGAGGGTCTCCTGCGGCGCCTTGCGTTTGCTCATGGTGCCGGGAACCCGCACCTGGGAGCCACCGGTGGGACAATGGCGGCTCCTGACAGTGCGCAGCGCGGTGACGTCACGCGCCAGGCGGCGGGGCGGGGCGGAGCTTAGCGGACGCCGGGGCAGAAGCAGGGAATCCCTCGGCGGCGGGGAGTGGGGAGGTCAGGGTTACCCCTTTAGTGGGTTAACCTGAGATTAAATCTGCTCTCCGGGTAGGAGAGCAGTCCGCTTTAGAGCCAGAGGTGCAGAAGGCGGTGGACGTCGGCTGCTGTGGGCAACAGCCGTGGAAGGCGTGGCCTGTACTTTATGTGAGGACTCCCAGCACCAGGTCGGCTGTCAGGATCCAAGAGCTGCTCGGTGCTCTTGGGCACCGGGTAAAACAGGGAATGAAATACGCCAACCAAAACTTGGTCAACCAATGGCTGGAGATGTGTTTTGTCTTATTAAATACCCATGCCTTTTGTGGGAGGAGCTAAAGTTACGAAAAGACCACAGGAAGTGTCTGACCTGGATGATCAGCAAGGAGCCCTCATACCGCACAGCTTATATGGGAAAACCTTACAATTTGCTAGAATTGAAATATAACACCTGCGCTATATTTGTAAGTGTACCTCATGGGGTTCATAGTAACTGCAATTGCAGCAAGTGATTTAGAGAGAATGTTTAAAAAAATACCTCTCTCATAAAAGGGACCATGCAGAGTCATGGTGAAGACGAGGGGGGCATGAGGATAACAACTGGGGTGGAGTCCCTGTAGAAGCAGGAAGGCCCACCCCCAAAGCAACAGCTACAAAGTTCTGCGCAAACTGGAACAAGTTCACTGGGACAGAGATTTGAGGATTGGCAGGAAAGACAGTGTGGGTGGTAAAACCAGAACAGCAAGTAGCTTTCTACCCATCCTCTTGCCTGACCTTATCCGTCTTTTTCCTGCATCACATCCTCATCGCTTAATGTCTTTCTTGCTCTCCTTCCTAAATGTTGCCCTATACCCAGGTGTACATTTGTATATCCAGATGCTTTTGAGGCCAGAATACACATCAAGTAGAACATGCGGCCTGTTTTCCTTTTGAGGTTGTAAGGTTGTGTATCCTCCCTTAATATTATACATTCTAAACCCATCCATTTTCTCGAAGCTTGTGATTTCATTTTTCTATAGAGAGGAATAATACCCCACTTTATATATGTACCAGATCTTTATTATCCATTCATCTGTTGATAGACATCTGGGTTTGTTCCATTTCCCTGCTATAGTAAACGGAGCAGCAACAAAAATGGGCATGCAGATATCTCGAGGTGTGGGTGTGGGAGTCTTTGAGTATAAGCCTAGGAGTGAAATGCTGTGGCATATAGTTCCAGTTTTAATCTTTGAGGAACCTCTCATTTCCATGATGGCTGTGTTAGTTTGCACCCCTGACAGCCAAGAATAAGGGTTCCTCTTTCACAGCATCCTCTTCAACACTTGTTATAAGACTTCCCGATGCTTGCCGTTCTGACTGGGGTAAGGCAGTTCTCAAAGCAGTTTTAGTTGCATTTCCCTGATGACTAGGGATATTGAACACTTTTTCCCCCCAAGAGTTTCTCTGTGTAGCCCTGGCTCTCCTGGAACTCACTCTGTAGACCAGGCTGGCCTCAAAATGAGAGAAAAGTAGGTGATCCAATGACCCCTAAGAAGAGACGCTAACCCAAGCTGAGGCTTATCTGGGAATAATAAGTCGATGGGACGAGGACGGCAAAGGTTCCCTTCCCAAACCTTTAGGGGAAGTACAGTCTTGCTGAAATCTAGATTTCAATTTCTTGCCTTGCACATTAAGAATAAATTTATTTTAGCTATGTCATTCGTTACAGTTGGAGAAAGTTTTTTCCCTGGTTTTTCTGTGGGACTCCACTAGTTGGCTTAGAACAGCCCCCAAGGAACTAGCAATCATTGGCAGTCTTCACATCCCGGCTTAGTCTGCCCTCTCTGATTCATGTAAGGCAGTGTTCCAGAATTTCACCTGTACTCAGAAGGGGAAAAATGTATTTATTTTATGGTCCTGGCTAGCTAACTTAACTCAAGCTAGAGTTATCTGAACATAGGGAACCTCAATTGAGAAGATGCCTCCATAAGATCAGGTTGTAGGACGTTTTCTTAATTAGTGATTGACAGAAGAGGGACCAGCCCATTGTGGGTGGGGCCAGGCCTGGGTAGGTGATCTTGGGTTCTACAAGAAAGCAGGCTGAGTAAGTCCCGGGGAACAAGCCAGTAATGAAAACCCCTCCATGACCTCTGCATCAGCTCCTGCCTCCAGATTCCTGCCCTGACTTCCTTTGATGATGAACTGTGATGTATAATTATAAGGCAAATAAACTCTTTCCTCCCCTACTTGCTTTTTGATCATGGTGTTTCATCACAGCAATAGAAACACAAACTAAGACATTCATCTTTTGTGGAAACAAAAATAAGCCTTGAATTTCACCTTGTCATAAATTATGAAGGTCTAGTGACAAACTTTCCAAATTAGTGCTTTGGGTTAATGTCATTTTCTTGCATAAAGTTTTTCTGTGACTCCCGACTGTTTATTAAACCACAGCTCTTAGCCCAACATTCATTCCCTTCCCAATCTCCTCCCAGCCTTTCTGGTCTTATTCCTACTATGCCCTTTCCAGGAGTTCTAAAATCATGTTTTCTTGACTCTAGTACTTCTGGATGTTAGTAGACCTTGAGCACACAGGAGGGGCGGGGCTCTATGGTCAAATGACGTTACTCAAGGATCAGTTTACATTAAGTTTAAGCCAGGGTCTTTATTATGAGTTTTCAGATAGTTTACCAGTGTACAGTTTGACTCTCTAAGAAGCAATCAAAGTACGAAGTTCCTTCTGAACACTTGACCATTGATGCTTCATGCTGACTCTGTGGTGGCCACTTTGAAACTCCTCTGTTCCCAGTTTGTTTCTTTTCTAACCAAATAGACCTGTTTATGATAACCTGAGCCTGTTTTGCTTTTATACATGCATGTACACACACATACACACAAGCACACACACATACGCACAGATAAACACATACAAGTTTTGTTGAAATGATCATGATCTAGACATACTCCATTCAATTATACAGAATTTTCTATGGTGTTGAGTTTTGAGCTCACAAGAACTAGTGATGGTATATTGTAGAAATACACATTTGATACTAGAATATATATCTGAGTAATGTTATAAAATATAGAAACTATTTATAAAATAAACCATTTTAATAATGCTCCTAGCTAATGTAAGAAAGAGGCAGCAACATCCCATCCTAACCTCACGCACATGCACACTCATGCACACTCAGGCACACACACACACCTGGCAGGCACAAAGGAGTGGCAGAGTGTTCAGTAGAGTAGCAGAAGGCACAAACCCTTCGTCTGCCTTTCTTCTTCATGACAGCTGATTCCAGGTAATCTTTGGGACTCAAGAGAAGGTAGCTGCATTTCCAGTCTGCCTGGCTCTGTAAGTGGCACACTCTGTGGCTTGGAGGACCAGAGACAGCAGGGATCTTGGCATCACTACAACTTGGTTAAAGATCATTTGCCACAGTGAGCAGCACAGAAAGCAGAAATAATATTTACCAGTGGGGAGGCGAAAAGAGGAAGAAAGTCAGGACCGTCAAACTTATGATTTGATCCTCTGGATGCAGAGGAAGCCCGAGCTGTGGGCTGAGGAAGGATGGGCAGGGCAGGTCTCTCTCCCTGCAGTGGTCCACAGGGGGCAGCTTGGCTGCTGCCTGGAAACACTCAGGACAAACATTTGCCATATGCTCTGGGTGGCAAACTACTCAACGCTTTCTTCTTAACGACAGAGGAAGCAGCTAGGAAGCATCGATGCTGTGAATGCCTGTAGCTGGTACTTCCTGTGCTTCTGTGGCAGAGGACATCCAGTGTGCAGACGGGGCCAGCAGGCTGCCGAGGGCAAACGTCACAGTTGCTGGGAGAGTGAGATTTCCAGCTGGGTGCTGGAGACACCCGAGCATCATCACACCCAGAGCCATGGGGTCAGTCCATAGGAACCTCAGTCACAGGCCTGCTCCAGGCTACCCCTTTCGTCGTTCTCCATCTGTAACCAGCTCCAGTCTAGACTCTGAAAGTTAACAGGCACATTAAATACTCAGCGGCCATGGACATCTTTCCTCTTCAGGAGGCAAGCAGCACAATCTAAAAGGATGTTCATACGTTATCAGCATCAGTCCTGGCACCAGCTGGAGTTCCTGGAACTCAGTGCCTGTGGAGCGTGGAGGTCACACAGAGAGCTCACTCACACACTCTCTGCAGGAAGGTGGTACTCAGCTATGTTTCCATGCCAACGGATGAGGCTTCCCCTTTCTCTGGTTAAAGTGCAAGCAAGTAGTGAGATGGAAGAAACAGTAACAGGAGGTAAAAAGCAGCAGGAGTTAGGGAGGCTCACACGTGACAGACACGTGGGCAGATTAGAGACGGTGGCAACTGGCGGCAGGGTTTCTTCCAATTCCCCCACGTCAGAAGTGAAAGCAGGGAGCAGACAATTGCGTTAGCAGGAAAAGGCCAAGTAGACATCGATCATCATTTACGCTTTGAAAGCACCTGAATCACAGCTAGATTTCTTCAGGTCAGTTTCTCTGACACTGCCTGTGGCTAAACAGCGAGTCCCTGAGCCGCAGGCTATGCATGACAGGTTCCTCTTTTGTCATGGAGCCCAGTACTGTGCCCAACACAGATGCTCTGCAGTGGTCCCAAAGATAAGGAAGGGGCTTCTGGGAACTCCGCTTCCTCCTCACTGGGATTAATTCTCATAAGGAATAAGATAACGGATGCACATGGCATTTCTAAGCATGAAATAATTACAAAAAACTTAAAAATGTATGTGCCAAGGCTGACACCAAGTTGCTTTCCCTCCTCCTCTCCTCTTTTGCTACAGAAAGGAAGGGAGCAGGCAAGCTGGGGTCCCCGAGGGTTGTTACCGTGAAGCTGCGGTCTTGCTCCTTCACGGTATCTTGCAGCGTGCTCTCTAGCCGGGTGCGGAGGGCGTGTGCTTCAGCCACCAGTTCCTCACTGAAGACAAGGGTCAGATTACCAGAACAAGGTCATCAAGATCTTACCAAAGCA